CAAAAGGTATTGCTAAGAAAATAATTTAGAGAGGATAATGCAGGAGCTTCTCCCAGGTGTAAGGTATCACTGGGGAGGAAATAAAAACATGGATGATTGAGAACCTTTTAATTTGAGGAGTGAGCGTGTCTGTCACAGGGCTGCTGATGCTGTGGTCACCCTTAGGAAGCTGCACTGAGAGTTGATAAAATAGGACAGAGGTTTGGTTGGGAACTGCGTGGAAAACTGATGCTGCAGAACTGTTCAGAAGGCTGTTAGAATGCAGAAATATTTCTCTTCCCTTTATAAACACCCTCTGAACTTTTATTATGTACTGTGTGTTCACAACAATCATTTCCCATACCTCCGAGGCTAAATAATTTCTGAATAGCTAAATCAATTTGCCTGGTGTCTGTGTTGTGTCACAGTAATGAAAGTTCCCTTTACTGCGGCGGTAGCAATAAAACAACTCTTGGGAAGATGTGGGAGCTCTATCAAAGCATCTCTGTCTGAGTTATAACTCAGCAACTGATTAACCAGTCAGCATTGGAAAGGAGGCAGCAGTATGCCTCAGCTATCACTTGAGACTACAGGGGGATTTTGTAATTAAGTTTTATTTAAGGTCTGAAACTTAATAATACACAAAATGTACTGTTGGAGCTGAAATCACCAAGGTCTTGGTTTTGTATCTTGCCTAAATGACCTGTGATTGCAAGGTTGTATTATGCTTGCAACTGAGCAGGGTGGCATTCATCTAGGATGGTGACAGAAGCACTAAAATTGGTTCAAGTCCTGCAGTTGAATGAATGAAGAGAGGTTCTTCAAGAGCTTCATTGACTCCTGTAGGACTTTGCCTAGCAGGCTGCTGGTGGAGTCTTTTTGCTGCATTAAGAGAAGACCGAGTCTGCTGATACCTCAGGGAGATGATGCAAATGCAACCTCCTCCAACAGGCTGAGGCAAATGTTTTCAATTAATACCTGGCAATATGAATTTCCATGAAGGAGTTTACATAAGGATCAGATGTATATTTATGTGTGTGTGTCTGGTTTTATTGGTCTGTGCGTACCTGATACAGATATCTGTATAGATATGTACAATAACAGGTCCTTGTTCTTCAGAGTGACATTTGAGGTAGGACAGGAGCTGATATCACCTTCTCTTTGTCTTAAAAGCAAGTAGGGATTCATCCAAGGGTGTTGGAATAGGTTCAGAGGAACTTTTCAGGGTTAGAACCTTTCATTTGTGGAAGACTTTTTAGCTTGGAGTATCACAGTTTTGGAAGTCTTTATTAACTAAAGCCATGCAAGACTCCTGTAAGACAGATCAAGTACTGTGCCTTCTTGGCCACGATTCTTGTGTTCCTGTTGCCTTTCTTACATATGAAATGTGACTGTTGGAATCATTATCACTTCTAATTTTTGATTATGTTGAAAAGCAGGATCAAAAAGAGGGGGAAAAAACCAAAATCAACCAAATCCTCTTCTACGTTCCTATGCTTCAAATCAATAGTATGAGGATATAGTGTCTGGATGTCAGCCCATTTTATAAATGAATATATCTCAAAGATGGTTTTACTGGCCTACAAATGCCAAGAACAGGATGACAGTCTAATTCCTTGCATAGCAACAGCTAACATAAAATCAGGTTCACTCTAGAAAAATGCAACTGCTGTTTGAGGAGGGTTATGGATACAGTCATTGTTTCTTGGTTTATGTTTGGTCCCTGGTAGATATTAACTGGCCATTTGTCTGATGTCAGACAAATCTTTTTGTTTAAAAGTTACAACAGCTGCTGTTTTGTAGGGGTATAAATTCTTACCCTGCTGAATGCAGTGGGAAGAGCTTCTTTAGCACAGTGTGGTTAGACTTTCAGGTCCATAACACAAAATACATTGCCATAAATACTCCATTCTGAGAGTGCCAGCATTGCCTTTATATGTAGTGTCTGATGGGCCAAGGATGAAGGGAGTTGAGATTTAGCTTTCTGATCACTCGTAGGGCTTTTCCCTTTGTTGCAGTTTGAGACATATTAACTGGATCTGATTCATTTTCACCTACCTTTATTATTCTAAAAATGTGTTTTTTGTTTCTGATCATTCCAGGTTCCTTTGGGGGAAGAAAAATGTGATAAATGTGTTTGTGCCTTGTCTTTAAAAGAAGTGGTTTAAAATAGCTTCAAGTTACTACTAGCATTAGGCAGTTCTTCTGGAAACACTATGTATGAGTAGAAAAGGAAATGGGATCACAACATGTGTTTTATGGCAGTTCTGGATTTAGTTTATTAACTTTGTATTGCCAGCCACTCCAAATTTGTAGTCTGTTCAGGTATTGTTGGTACTTGCAAGATAGGATTGTAGTTTGGCTTGGTATTTTTTTTTTTTTAAATCTTAAATGCTTTTTAAAATCCCCATCACATTAGTTACGTGTTTTGCTGATCCAATTTGCAGGATAGAACTTCAAAATCTGGCTTCTGGTTTTGCTGTTAGTGGATTTTGATCAGATACCACTCCAAACACAAACTCATACTGTTCCTGGGCAGAGAGACTCCAAGCAACCAGTGAAATCATAATGTGCTGTGTTGGAAAATGGCAGGGGTATGAGGTTGGAGACTAGTCTTACTGGGTTCCTTTCTGAAATAATGCATCACGTGCAACCTAGAGCTTTGTGTCCTGGAAGGTGCTGGTCCTTCCTCTGAGCTGCTGGGCCAAGAATACAGCTGGAGGAATGGTAAAGATGCGTTTGCTGATCATTCCCTGTGGATGAGCAGGGAGCTGGATGGCTCCTGTTACACAAGAGGAAGAGAATCTCCTCTAGGCTGTGAAAGACCCCCTGTCAATCAGGGTTTGATGAGATGGAGCAGGTTTACCTCTACAAGTGGATCTGTTATTCACTAGCACTAAGGACAAAAGGCTTTCAGGCTTGAGGGCATCCCAGGAAGGAGTGAATAAAGACTTGGAATAACCCAGTGTTTGTGGCCTTGTACTTCACCAGAAACAGGGGAGGCCAAACTAACCAGTGGCAGTCTAATGGATTCAAACTGAGTAGAAAGAGAACATGCTTTGTGAGCAGATTTTTGTCTTTTTTCCCCCTCAGTAACAACATGAATGAGGTTAACAGAGATTCAAGGATGAATGTACATAGGGATGACGACAGAAAAACCTTCTTAGCTATCTCTCTCTTTAAACACTTGTTTCTTCTCCTGCTTTATTTCTCCCAGGTATTTGTGGTCACCGTCTGGAGCGTGGAACTGTACATGGTGCCCCTGGCTCTGCTGGTGCTCTTTGCATACAACTTTACCCTCGTCACAACCGGGAAGGTCAACAACACCCAAGATGCCCAGGCAAGTAAAGTGGCAGCAACGTTTCTGGCAGCCCCATCTTGAATTTGCCCTTGAGCAACACATGATGCACTTGAATGGTATTAAGCTAGCTGTGGAACTAAACAGCAGTTTGGTTTCAAACTTACTGAGAAGAATCCTCAACCCTCTTAATTTTCATGATTCAGTTCAAGCAATAAACTGTTCAGAGTAGCAGCAGAAGATGACGAGGGAGTGTGTAGGAGGCGAATTTCACTTACTAATGAGCTACAAATGTTTCTAACTCAGTTGAATGAAGAAAGACTTAGAAAGCAACAAGTTCTGAAACCCGTGACCCTACTGCTCTTTGCATCGTACTGATGATTCATAGAAGAGGATAGTCAGTAGAAGTGGAAAGAGAAGTGACATATTTTTAAACCATGTCCTGTGATCTGAGACATTAAGAAGCCCTTATTCCTCCTCCTCAGCCCCTACTTGTAAGTGACAAAGGCTTGCTCCCAGAAATTTAGCCTTCAGTTTAACTTGATCTGGAAGGAAAAAAGGATTTATATACAAAAATAATCACTATATGTATGGCAAAGTGCTGCTGTCGGGGTATAAAACACTGTTTGATGTTGACCACTGTCTTTACTTCCATAACAATGGTAATTAGAGTTAGAAATGAGAGTAAACTCATGGATGCCCATAATATTGTTTTTAAATGTGTAGTAACTACAGTAACAAAATATAGTCTGAATTATCACTTCACTGATAAAAATATGACTGACATTTGTAGCCATGAAGAATACCATTACCCAAACAAATCGAGTGGATTTTATACAAAGAACAAATGTGCTAGAATTCAAAAGGTCATTTGGTGGTTTGTTAGTTTTAGTGAGAGAAGTTGCTGCTAGTTCAATTTTCATCCATACTGTAGTGGTTTGTTAGAAAATAGGGAAGGTTGTATTATAGAGACCAGAACACAGACTTGTTTTTTTAAAAAAAAAAAAAAGGTAAAAGAAATGCTTTTCATAGAACGTCTGGGCTGGAAGGGACCTCCAAAGGTCATCTAGTCCAACTCTTCCACCATGAGCAGGGACATCTCCAACTAGATCAAGCTACTCAAAGCTTCATCTGCAGTCCAGAATAATGTAGAAAGATATTGTGTGTCTTGAGTGATTACTTTAGTCCATCAAGAATATTAGAACTTCTGGTGTGGGAGAGTCCTGAGCAGTCAGGTGTTTTTATTTTTAATACAGAAGACATTATAAAATAATCACTTACCTAGGAAAAATTACACAGCAAATACCTTCCAGCACCCATCACTTGTCCTTTGATGAATTTGTTGCATGTTCAAGTGAGGAGAGTCTCACAAATGAGCAAAATGGAGCAGTACATCATTTAGGTGGATGCTATGAAAAGGCTATTATCTGAATTTACAGTTTAATTGTAGTAATACTGGAGAAAGGCCCATCAGAAAGTTGGCCCTTTTCCTGTCATACATCCTGTGAGGCCATGGAATTCAAGGGTGCATCTTGCATAAGCAAAGCTACTCGTCTGCCTAAGTGCTTTGCAGGATTGGGATCATATGGAACAAGTAGTCAAAATGCCTTTAATATTACCTGATTTCTTTTTTATGCGTGTCTGTGATTCTAACCATCTGCAGGTCAAAAATAGACAATCAGGTGCTACCCCTAGTCACATCTGTCCTGCAGATGATAAAAGGTTTTCTTCAAAATACCAATGCTTTTTACACAGCCATTTATTTGTTTTTCACTTCTTCAGACCTTTTCTGCATGTGTGCTACCTTTGGGTTTTGTGTGCCAGCACATATACAGAGGAATGTGAGCAACAGTCTTTGCAAAAGTGGACCTCAAATTCTCTCTCATTTGTGCTATAAAATGGGAATAACACTATTAACCTTGCAGGCATGATTCAGCTGCCAGAAGGCTACATTTGTGAATATTGGTAAAATAGTATATGATTTGCAGATGGGGAGCTTCTATAGAAATGTAAACCATGATCAGTGTTAATTCAGCCACTCAGAGTATTCCAAAGAGGAAATCTGGCTCTCTGACCTTGCAGTACTATACTAGATGCAACTGCTTTTCAGAGGAAAAATTCCCAAACTGAAACACCCAATGCTTCCCCAAAAAACCCAAACGTAAACCATCTTTTCATTGTGATTCTTCACATTCTCTGCATGTTTGCTGTATTTAAACTTGTAGTAGAGTGGTTCGACTGTACCTGTTAAATAACTAAGAAACAACTTGGCAGACCCTCTTAAAGGCTCAACTTATTAAACCCCTAAATTAAAAGCCAAGCACTCCTAATTTCAAGCCTTAGCCAAAAAATCTTTTCGTTTTCTTGCTTACCTGTCAGCAGAGAAGTTAAAGGGAGGAAATGATGCTGCATAGTGATCTGGCTGTGATTTGTGAGGCCAGTGATGTTCATACTGACGTGTTTTCTGAAGTCTGATGTTTCAGTAATGGCCCTGAAGGGAGGGAGCAGTCATTGGAGCAGTGAGGATGGAACAAGTGGACTATAGAGTCCTCAGCCTTGACACACTGGCTGGTTCATTTGTCAGATGAAGAACAAAGCTGTTTACAGACAGTCAAAAGTTGGTAATGGATTTGAAAGCCTGTTGCCTTCAAACTACTGGATGCAGCCGCTAATGCTTTATTTAGACTTAAAATTTGTATAAGGTATCACAGGATTTGTTCAAGATAGCATAAAAAAGTCCTTGGATACAAAACGTTATTTCTGAAAGGTGAAAGTGTGGAGTTTTTTATGAGTTAACAATAGAAAACTGTGCAATGGAATGTTGTGGTAGTACCATAAGCTTTTTGAACATTGCCTGGGATTGAAAAATAAGTGTAGTGTTTTGTAATACGGGCATCTGCTTTTGTAGGAGCTTATGGGCTTGGATGAAGATGAGGATGAAGATGATAAGGTAAGCATATCTCATGCCTGTGTTAGCTAGAACCAGAGGGAACGTGGGAGAGCACAAACCCACTGTCTTACCTCCATTGTAACTTACATTTATTATCTGTATTAATAGGGCAAACAATTGTTACCAGTTTGCTGTTTGGCAAATTTGAAAGTATGTAAAGATCAATTTGTGTAACATCCCATAGTGGCATTGCCTACGTGAGACATCTGAGAACATTAAATTGAGCAGCCCCCAGTTGTGCTTGAAATCATAACAGGCACACATTCATGTGTGGGCACTTACAGGTATGGGTATGGGTGCAGGAGGCCCAAAAACATGCCCGAGTATGTAAAATTCCCTGTTGATTCCACTTGCAGTGTTGGATGCCATTCCATACTAATGGCTTTCCCAAAGAGATTGGGCATTTCCATCTCTCTGGGCCGGAACTGGTGTGATTTGTGGAGGGCTGGTTAAAGTTTTCTCAACACTTCTTTCAGAGTTAAAAAAAAAGCAAAAAACCAAACCAGTTTTAGTTAATCAGCTGAAATGTAGAAAGAATTGGAACTGGCAAGGCTGGTTTTTTATTTTATTGGGTCATACTTACTCATTCTTCTCACTATGAAAAATTCATTGGATTTTTTTCAAGTTTATCAGACCACAGTGACAAATGATAAAAGGATTAGAGGGCATGACATATAAAGAAAGATTAAGAGAACTTAATGTATACAGCTTGAAAAAACACAAGTGAAGGAGGATCTGATAATCTATAAATACTTTAAAGCTAAAAGGTGAGGAATTATTTAACGAGCAACAGCATGCAAAGGAACATTAGCTGTTAGGAAGAAAATGTTCACAAAACGATGTGAAACTTCTAAATTGCACACTAAGTTAATAAGATTCTTCTTGAATATTCCGTGTTTTAAGAGTATTACAGTGGAATTGTTGATCGTGGAGAAGTAAATCAATACCACAGTTAGCAAGTTCACCTTAACTCTTCTCAGACACAGACACTAGAATTGAAACTCAGCAGACTAATTGATGGGAATAGTTATAGAAATTTAACCTGCTCTTCTGTGGGGGTTATATTTTAATGAGCAACCAGAAATCCATCCAAGTTGTAAAGTGAACTTTAGACAATCTGGTTGAATTTCAGGTTTCTTGCAACACAATTGGGTAAGTATTCACATTTACAATTCACTCTTTGCATTGTAAAGCTGTTCAACTAAACGAACCAATATCTGGAACTCATCAGGAGGTGTTAAATGAAAGTTAGATCTTTTTCAAAGGAAAACTGTGTATCTTCAAAAGTCAGGAACGTCTATTTTGTGAGTACCCAATGCTAGACACCTGTAAATATTGACCCTGCATCTTATTTGTGTGATGCCTAAAGGTGTAACTTAGTCTCTGGAACCAATCCCATCTGCTTCATTTTTTTAATAGTTCTCTTTTTCATTTGTGAGTGCTGAGGTGGGGAAAAAAAAAGTAAAAATGTATTAATGGTTATTTAATCCTCTATTCCCTGTGCTGTGCAGCAGATTCATTGCTGCAAAGCTGAGATATTCTAGGTTATATTTACCCTACATCTAACTCCATTGACTTTGCTTCTCTCTTATAAATACAACTGGGTCACGTAAATATGGATCTAATCACTTTGCATTTTTGCTGCCTCCCCTCAGCCCCAACAACTTCACTGTTGTTTTTTCTTGATATCTTTTAACTAAGAATGCAGCTTTGGGAAACCTCCTGAGAGTCAGTGTTGAGAGGATGATGATTTGGCCCTACCATTTTGTAATCAGTGTTGCTTCTATCATCTCCATTTCATGCATGAACATAGAAATGGAGAATTTCCACTGAAATTCCACTCTTAGAAATGAAGAGGTGGTAGCATGGGCTAAAGCTACTCATAGTAGACACCTCCAGCAGGCTTTCTCATCAGAAGAAAACTTTATATCTCAACATTAGAGCAATAGTAATCCATAGCTTGTATTAGTCCATACACTAGTGTTGTGGAATTCTGACACACAATTATCAGGAGAGAGAATTGCCAGCCACTACATGTGTCCCACATCAAGTGCTGTGCAGTGTTGCCTTAATGTCTTCATCCTGTCCTGGGCATATCCCTTTGGCATCAGTGATGGACCCTGCTTGCACTCTGACTTGCATCTTTAAGTACATTAGTTTATTCTGAGTGACTTTTCCAAGTCTGAGGGTGGCCAATGCTCTCTAGGGTGTGTAAGAAAAATGGAATTTTATGTCATTATCTCATGGCAATGTCAACATTTAAACAGACAACTATACTTAAAAAAGAAGTCTGTGTATTTTTTTTTCCCTCCCTATTACAAGAGCTCCTAAAGTTGAAATCTGCTGGTTGGGCTGTGGTACACGAGGTCACTGTTTCTGTTTCCTATCATTGTGCTCTATCAAAATCCTTGCACACATCGCCTTTCTGGGTTCTGCTGCATGTTAGACATAACAGAACATGCTTCTGGGAATTGTAACACACCCTCTCAGAGCTGAACTGTTTACAAATTATAAATATACAGACGCTTAGTTCAAAAACCCAAGAGCAGATTAACTCCCTCCACCTAAACGATCTGTCTTAAATGACAGGGCTTAATTGCAAACTCCCTTCTTCGTTCCCCCTTTCCCCTCCCCAAATACCAGCGTGGAGGACTGTAAAAGATAAGAGAGCTCTGTCCCTTTGGCACAAGCTGTTTGGTGGATGAATGCCTTCTCGGATTTGTGCCATCTTGAACGTGGAGTTCAGGCTGCGTCGTGTCAGCTCTGGGGTCTGTCAGGCTGTCTGAATAAGGATTGTTTTAAAATTACATCACTGCAACATCTTTCACCTGCCAGTAGAAATTAGACAAGTTACATGCAGCTCCGTGTAAGTTGTCTGATTGTTGACCATTTCTATTTATTTTAGTTATTTTTTTTCCCCCTTGTTTGACAACGACTGTAGAGCTTCAAGAGCAGACAGTTACCCTGTTGAGTGAGGATATCATAGCACCCAACTGGAAAATCTTGGAGTCTTCTCATGACTTTAAGTAGTCTGGATAAAAGTTTGCATCTCCTCCAAAACGGACAAAACTTAAATGATTACTACTTCCAGGTCTGGTAACTGATTCAAAAGAAAATGAGAGATAAAACTATATCAACAATAATTCCCTTTTTTTTTTTCTTTTTTTTCTTGGAGGTTTTCTATCTAGGGATGAGCCAACGTAGCCCTCCTTGCCTAGTGGGATGTAATAGAGAAGGATCAGATGATACTGTGGCTTGAAACCAAGTTATTTGGCAACTTCCAAGAAATGTTTAATATCTCATGTATTGGAAAAAAGAAAAGTGGGAAAAAAAAATCCCCAAAGAAGAAAAACCCAGTGTTTCTAATGTAGGAAATTCTCTGTTCAAAAATAGGTACCAAAAATATACAAAGTTTCATGAGCACAATTCAAAAAGACTCCAGCCAAACAAATTAAAGTCAAATTCATCCAGTAGCAAACAGCTGACATTTTCCATTTGAGTTAGATTCAGCATGTGGAAAGCTTCCGTATGGATCTTATTTGTACGGGTGGATTACGATGAAAATTGCATTAATTTTCTCCACAGTAAAGGTCAGTAATTGAAACATGAACCAAGAGTCTATTGTGTAAGATGCTATATCCCCATACTTAGGAAAGGTCATTTGAGACAATATCATCTCATTGTTTTCTTCCCTGGAAGTACAAATAATTTCATTAGTTTTTCATTTTTTTTTTCTTCAATACAACAATTGCAATATATTATTTCAACATCTCCCATTAAGATTGCTGAGGAGAAATGATGGTAAAGGCTTGAAAACACCCCATGATACACAGGGTATGACTAACAGGGAGCACCTTCTTCACAGAATTATGGTCAAGATTGTGTCCTAAAAAAACCCACAAGGTGTGTTTGCGTAGGCATGAACTTCCTGAAATTGCTGTTCTTCCTTCAGCTGGCTCTTTGTGGCTTCTCCCTCACTGCTTCCTAATGAGTCTGTGCATGGGTCATGGCTACGTTAGTGATGGAGAAGCCTAAGGGACAGATTCTGGTACTTCCTGAGCTATGCTCAATCCAAAGCCAGAGGATGGGACAATTCTAAGTACACGTAATCATTTGGTCTCACAAACACCTTGACTAAAGTGTAATAAAAGTTTCCAGCTATCACTTAAGAGACAATTATACCTTCTGTACATTCCCTCCAAGCTTCTTATTAACCTAATCAACTTCTGGTTAAGACAGAGCACAGGGGTTGCTCTGGCTCTGCTTTACTCTTTGCTTGGGAGCCTCGTGTGTACGAGGAACTGGAAGACAAATAGTCTCTGTTATTTCTTATTTACACTGCAGCATCATTTAGGACCACTCTTATCTGTAGGCACCCCAAAAATTGGCATGATCCTTGTCTTAGTACTGTGACCCACCCAATTCATAGGTTTAGGAGTGATGAGAGAGAGGGACTTGTGGAGGGCTTTTAGGTATCCTGGGGATTGTGGTGTGGGTCTTCTCCCATAGAAACCTTAGCAGCCCTATTGCTGTCTGAAATTCTCCCTCTTTCCTTGGAGGTAGGTAAGCCAACACTGTAACTTCTTTAAATCTCTGGAGGAATATTAATTAGCACTGGACAGGTCACTGGACCAAGCACATAATCCTTAGGGAGTTCTTGCCCCTTAAAAATTCCAGCTATTTAAAATGTTATTAAAAATTATTTTGAGTTGGCCAGATGTATTAATAGGTCTGTCTTTCTCCTGTACTCCGTGTTGCTAAAGATCATTACCTTGATTATAGATCATGATCCAATAGTTTAATCCCCATGTGATTGTTCTTAGGTCTCATGTGTATTTCCAGGAGAAAGCTCTTATTTTGGTAAAAGATGTTTTCTTTCCCTGTCACTTTTTTCAAGTCAAAGATGACTGATGACTTTTTATTTCCATTCAGGCTTTAAGAAAGTTGCTTCTTAAGCACACATTCCTCACCTGAATGGTGTTTTCTTCTGTTGTGACTAC